TCAGAGTGTTCGGTGGGCTGCATCATTTCTCATAAGTGGAGAGAAGGAGGCAGGAACGTAACGTGAGTATGCATGATATACTGGCATTCTCTTAGAGAACATCTTCACTGGCACTTTGACCCAAAAGTATAGGATGGGTGACTTTTTTGGCTTGGAGACAGTCCATGGGAAAGGGATCTAGAAGTCTTAATGGACCACAAGCCGAACAGTGTGATGCTGCAGCTAGGCAGGACAATGCAATTCTAGGCGGCATCCATAGAAGTCCAGTATCCAAGTTGAGGGAGGTCATGGGACAACTCTCTTCTGCTTTGTTCAAACCTCACCTGGAATAATGTGTGTCCAGTTCTGGGCAAAGCAATTCAGGAAGGAGATGGACAAAGTGGAAGGTGTATTGTCAAAGGCTTTCATGGCTGGAATCACTGGGTTGTTGTAGGTTTGTCGGGCTGTATGGCCATGTTGTAGAGGCATTCTCTCCAACAGACCTCATAACCTCTGAGGATGCTTGCTATAGATGCAGGTGAAATGTCAGGAGAGAATTCTTCGTGAACATGGCCATACAGCCCAAAAAACCTACAACAACCCAAGATGGAAGGTAATCAGAGTAGGGCCACCAAAAGATGACAGGACAGGACGGATTGGTCCTGGTGTTTGACACAAGTAAAATAGATGGATGGATTCTATCAACTCAGGAGTTTGCAAGACCTGAGTTGGGCAGATGGTGGTGGTCATTCTTAGGGCTCACTCATCATCAAGTTCTCCTTTATGACAAAGCCGACCAGGTGGCCACACATGAACACATCAACTGCAGCAAACTGGAAATTGTGGGGTCCTACTGATGTTCTGGAATTACAACTCATGGAAGGTGACCAGAGTAGGGCCACCAAAATGGTCCATGGTCTGGAAGCTATGAATCTCTATAAGGAATTCCTTAAGGAACCGGGGATGTTGAGCTTGGAGAAGAGAAGATTGAGAGAAGGGGACATGTTTAAATGTTTGGAAGGATGTCCCACTGAGGAAGGAAAAGGCTTGTTTTCTGCTGCTCGAGAGAAGGAGGTTCTATTGGATGATCAGGCAGTAGCATATTCATCCGTCAGACACCCCTTCATACCATCAGGAAGTTCTTCCTAATGTTTAGGTGGAATCCTTTCTCTTTTTTTCCATCCTTGTGTAGTGTTATCTATCTGTCTATCCATCTGTCTGTCTGTCTATCTATCTATCTATCTATCTATCTATCTATCTATCTATCTATCTATCTATCTATCTAAATGTTCTGTGCATAATGAGTACATTCAAAACAAAAGAACCAATGAACAAAATCACACCAAATTTGGCAATGAAACATCTCACAACACAAGGAGTGACCATCACTAACAAAAAAAAACATAAACATAAAGCAACAAGGACCTAACGATCCATGAAAGCCACAGGCAGGTATGACAAAATGCTCTTTAAACACAGAGTAAAAGGCCCCGAATAGCTAAGAACGGATGCTTCCCGTCATGAGCACTTTCACCCCCAACCTGGGCATTATTCACAGATACAGATAGATAGATAAATAGGTATACCCCACTTCCCTCATTTCCAACTGACCTCTGAACAAACCTCTGAGGATGAAAAGCCTTGCAGCTTAAAAGCCTGGCTTCTTCCTGCTTGTGGGAAACTTTTGTGGGGAGGTGTTCCCTAGCCTAGATTGTTTCATATCTGGAATACCTCTGTTTTCTGAGAGCCACAGCAACGTGTGGCCAGGGTACAGCTTATATCCACGCATTGCTGTGGCCCACATGGAGGTTCTGTGTGGAAGGTTTGGCCCAATTCTGTCATGGGTGGGGTTCAGAATGCTCTGTGATTGTAGGTGAACTATAAATCCCAGCAACTACAACTCCCAAATGTCAAGATTCTATTTTCTCCAAACTCCACCAGTGTTCACTTTTGGGCATATTGAGTATTTGTGTAGAGTTTGGTCCAGATCGATCATTGTTTGAGTCCACAATGATCTCTGGATGTAGGTGAACTACAACTCCAAAAACAAAGGACATTGCCCACTAAACCCTTCCAGTATTTTCTGTTGGTCATGGGAGTTCTGTGTGCCAAGTTTGGTTCAATTCCATCGTTGGTGGGGTTCAGAATGCTCTGTGATTGTAGGTGAACTATAAATCCCAGAAACTACAACTCCCAAATGACAAAATTGATTATTTTTAAGTGAAGGACATACATTGAGTTGTTAGGTGTCTTGTGTTCAAATTTGGTGTCAATTCGTCCAGTGGTTTTTGAGTTCTGTTAATCTCACAAACGAACATTACATTATATATATATATTCATTAATTAGAGGGGAAAAGAGAAATCCCACTCATTAAACCTAACCATGTGTTTTGTTGCTGCCAACCTTATCACTATGTTTATTCCCTCTCCATAGGTGCTAATGGCACAGAAAAAGGTTTCCCACCTCTCCCTTTGCACTTTCCTGATCACCAGCCTCTTCTTTCAAGGTAAATAATATCCTCAGAGCTGGGTTTTCCATGCCAGAAACACATGTTCCGAATGAATAAACCTATCCATCCCTTATCTTTTCCCCAAAAATTTGTATCTGTTTTTGTAAGACTTGAGATGTCTTGCAAAATAGATTAAAGCATATAGTTAAAACCATATACCCAAAAAGGTAAGATCAAAATGTTATAACATAAATTATAGAGAAGCATTTAGTCATCTGGTCAATGGGTAATCTAATCACTTTTTTCTTTTTTTAAAAAAAAATATTTATTTATTTACAGTATTTATATTCCGCCCTTCTCACGCCGAAGGGGACTCAGAGAAGATCACAGAACACATATACGAACAAACATTCAATGCCATTATACACTGACAAGACAGACAATTGTATATAGATAGAGGTGTATATATATAGGCTTTCCCATCTTCAGCATCTTGGAGGCTGTGCTCGGTTCTGGCCATACGGGGGTGCTGTCTCTCCACTTTTCCTGCCAAAGAGCTTTGTTCGTAAACTTCCTCTTTGATCATATTGCTGGCATTTTTCTGGCATTGCCTTATGGGTGCCGTAAATACCTCCCCGCTTAAGCTGTACTTATTTATCTACTAACCTTGTTGTCTTTGAAACTGCTAGGTAGGCAGAAGCTGGGCTAAAGGCCAGGAGCTCACCCTGATCCAGGCTTCGAACTGTCAAACTTTTGGTTGGCAAGATTTACTGTAGCTGGCAATTAACCTGCTGTGCTAAAGCATGGCTTTATTGTATATAATTTTATTAAATAATACACACATATAGATAGAGGAGGTGGGGCGTTGGTGGAAACGTACAAGCAGCCCTAAATCAGTATAAAGTGCTTTTAGAGGACATAATGCTAAGGGTTCGTTAAATGCTTGTAAAGATAGATAAGATTCCAAAAGCAATAAGGCATTCAAAGGCAGCCAGATGAAACAGTGTCCAAACATAGCAATCAAAAACAATATCCAAAAACATGAACATATAATCCAAGGCAATGATATTCAAACAGGAATCAAACCAGAAGCAAGAACAGACCAGACGCTGCTAGTCACCTTGAAAAAGCTAGAAAAATCCATGAAGACGAGACCACTTGAAGAGGGATTCCATGAGGCTATACTTGGTTTCCAAACGATGCCTGATCTGACAAGATTTTCTATAGACAAACCTTAAATCCCAAAAACTGGTTTCTCCCCCCCCCCCCCCAGTCTTTGACTTTATTTGACGAATTCTTTCGGATCTACGTAAACATTGAGCCTCCTGTCAATTCTGGCTAATTTCCAGCTGCCGACTCTGCTCAACTGACTCCTCATTAACGTTAGCAGGTGTCAGTCTGTTTTCCAAACTAGAATCTGGAAAGCTCACAGACGGAGGGAGTAAACCTTTCTCCAAGGCCTGACAGAAGCATTCTCATGAGAATCCACCCTTTGCACAGAAGCCTCTCTGTCAGTGTCTGCATGAAACTCATTGACCAAAGTGTCTCCATCTTGCACCTCAGAGTCAGTCCCAGCATCCCCCACATCAGAAGCAACAAGGGACTGATTTCCCTCCTCATTACCCACATCAGACACAGAAACATCAGGAGACTAAAACACATTCACAGGTTCAAGCAGAGGCTCAGGTTCATCAATCACAGGCTGTCCCAACAAACTATCTTCTCTAACAAACCAGCCTGGGCACTGTGGTCATCGGACAATGACCTGCTCTTAGTCCCACCCCCACCCCAAGCATGACTAGTGGGAACGGGAGAGAGGGCCTTCTCCATGGTTGCCCCCCACCTCTGGAACTCCCTTCCTAAAGAAATAAAGCTGGCTCCCTCCTTCCTCTCCTTTAACAAACATCTGAAGACCTAGTTTTGCTCACTAACATATGGAGAGGACGACGAATAGATAATTGAGAGATCATTGCTGGGCCTCTGGTTGAGAACTCTTTGTATTTGGGCTTTCCTGGTCCATGCCAGTCTAATGACCTTATTTGATACATAACCAACCTATACCATTTTGTGTACCCTTGCTGGCTGTTGTACACTAATGTGGATGTTTTGTTTAGATTTATGTTATTATAGAATTTTGTCTGGTTAAGGGTTGGACTAGATGATCCATGTGGTCTCTTCCAACTCTATGATTGTATGATTCTATGACTAGTAGATGACCCCTTTGGTTCTTCTCTCCCTCTTTCTCCCCAAAGGACTTGTTGGACACTCTAGAGTTCTTGACTATGTGTTCAGCAGTGGAACTCTCTGCCTCAGAACTTGGTGGAAGCTCCTTCCTTGGGAGCTTTTCAACTAGGGTTGGATGGCCATTTGCCTGGGAGGCTTTGATTGTGCTTTTCCCGCATGGCAGATTGAGGTTGGACTAGATGGTCCATGTGGCTCTTCCAACTCTGTGATTGTATGATTCTATGACTAGTAGAGGTCCCCTTTGGTTCTTCTCTCCCTCCTTCTCCCCAAAGGACTTGTCGGACACTCTAGAGCTCTTGACTATGAGTTTCTCTCCTCTGTGGCCAGGCTTTGAAGCAGGTGTCTGTCCTGAAAGTTGGATCCAACATCTGAACCGTTGCTTTGGGGTCGTTCCCCAGAAATTGAGCTGGCCAGAGGCAGAGGTAAGAAGGAAGACTTGGGGTTGTATCTACACTGTTGAATGAATGCAGTTCGACACCACCTTAACTGCTATAGCTCAATGCTAGCATATTCTGGGATTTATACTTTTGTACAGTTTTATACAGTTGTGCTCCCACAGAAGTTGAGGAAGCAAGAAGCCATTTTGTTCCTTTCTGCTTCAGGTAAGCCTTGTCTTAGGGGGCACTAGGAATCTGAGTGAGTGTTTAAAATTAGCTGCTGAGTGTTTGCTTTGTTTGAGAGGCGGGGCGAGGCTCATTGTTCTCAGAGTGAGTCAGAGTGAGTCGTTGCTGCTTCCTGTTTACCCTATATAAGCCAGGGCCTGAACTCAAGTGGCAGTTGTGCTCTCACAGAAATTGAGGAAGCAAGAAGCCATTTTGTTCCTTTTTTGTTCCTTTGTATGGCATCAGCACTCTTTGGCAGTGAAGGCAAAATACCTTTATTATTATTATTTTTTATTTCAGGTGCTTCTACCCCACCCTTCTCAACCCCCTAGGGGGGACTCAGGGCAGCTTACAAATGGCACAATTCGATGCCAACAATTCAACAGATAAAATACATAACAGCAATAACCACAATAGTTAAAACATTCAATTAATACAATAACAACTAAAAAGCCAATCTAGTGGCCAATGTTCACCTTTAACGTTCAATGTTAAAACTACAACTCCCACCATCTCCAAAATTCAAAGTTGTAAGTACAGAGGGGAACCCTACTAATGTGTGTATCTATCTACCTCTAATCCCAATTTCCAAATTATATATGACAAACTTTGTCCTTATTTTGGATGGGGGGAATATCAGAAAATGATGAAAACATGGTCAAAAGAACGTGTTCCTTGAAATTTTGGACTGATGATAATTTTTTGCAATTTGGGGTTTATTCTACACAAAATTCCCACTTGGTTTGTGCAAAACAACACAAAAATGTCATGTGTTTATTTGTGTGTGTGTGTACAGAATAAATATTATATTGTAAATAATTCTTGAAAACTGCAACAAAAAGATTTGCTCAAAAGACTTACTGCTTCTTTGTTGCAGCATAAACTTGTCTGTTTATCCACCTTTCTTATAATATTTCAGGTGGATTGTCAAACCTTCGGCAAACACGGCCACCTGGCTTCCTTTCAAACCAAAGCCGAGTGGGATGTGGTGGCCAAATATATCATCGCCAACTTTAAGGACGTGGATGACATCTGGGTTGGGCTGGAGGACGCTCGGAGGGTGAGTGCTCATGACTCTGGTCCACAACGGCAGGTTGCCTCTGCCATTTCTAACTCTGTGTATCTTGTTGTATGTCGTTTAATAGAGCTTTGTATAGGGGTTTTAATGATGTTGTCATAGGATGGGTTCATGAAATGATTTATACTTTCCAAATCACAACTTCCCTGAACCACTGCACTCTGGATAACCAGTATCCCAGAAGCAGGAAGAATACAGCAACTACAAGCATCTGACCTTATCTACACACTGTTTAGAAAACTCACTGATTCAGGTTTTTGTCCAAAATATCTGGAGACTTTAATCTTCACCATTACAATATATACAAATGTACAATCAGGATATGCAGATCCACTTTCAGGCATTTCCTTACAAAAATTAAATCCACAAAAAGTCGCATATAAAATACACAGATACTCACAAAGAGTCACGCAGGAGAGAGAAAGATGGAATGTTTTGTCCCTCTTATATAGCCACCTGCTGACAGGTCATCAGTAAGGGACAATGGCTGAAAGTGGGCGCTAGAAACAATATCATACAAAAGCTGATTGGCACAACGTGGGGATCACAACCAGACACAGTGAAGACATCTGCCCTTGCGTTATGCTACTCTGCTGCTGAGTATGCATGCCCAGTGTGGAACACATCTCACCACGCTAAAACAGTGGATGTGGCTCTTCATGAGACGTGCCGCATTATCACGGGGTGTCTGTGCCCTACACCACTGGAGACATCTCCAACTAATCCCCTGTTTGAGTACCAGCCAGCACGTCAACGACTTAAATCAAGAAATAGTTTTCTAAGATCTACAGAGACACTTGCTGGAACACCCCAGCAAGCGAGAGTCCAAAAGTGGCAGGCTCAAACCCAGAACCTCAACCCATGGCTGATACCAAATGAGAGACTCCCCCCTGGGCACACAGAAGACTGGGCGACTTGGAAGGTGCTGAACAGACTGCGCTCTGGCACCACGAGATGCAGAGCCAACCTCAAGAAATGGGGCCACAAAGTGGAATCCACGACATGCGAATGTGGAGAAGAGCAAACCACTGACCACCTGCTGCAATGCAACCTGAGCCCTGCCACATGCACAATGGAGGACCTTCTTGCAGCAACACCAGAGGCACTCCAAGTGGCCAGATACTGGTCAAAGGACATTTAATCAACTACCAAGCTTGCAAACACTGTTTTTTTTTGTTTGTTAAAAATTTGTTAAAAATGTAATACAATTGTCTGGTTGCTACTGACACGATAAATAAATAAATGGCTGATGAAACCCCCTTGCAATATTCCTCACATGCTTATGACTCGCCCTTCAGGGGAGATAAAGCAGGGTATAAATAATAATAATAATAATAATAATAATAATAATAATAATAATAATAATTTAAAAATCTGAGAGTCAAATTGAGAAAGAAAAAAATATGGCTGTTGTCAAGGTCAGACGCCTTACTTACTTACTACTTACTTAGGCGATCCCTCGTTGGATGAGTAATATGGTCTTCCATTATGGGTTTTCTTGTGGTTCCACATGTGGCTGTGGAGCCCTATTCTTGCTCTGCATCTTCTTCTGCAGTGTGGGCATTGGTTTCCAGGTGGAAGGCGGTCCCGGTCGGGGTTGGCTTGACGTGCCTTCCTCCTGGCATGTTTCTCTCTTTCACCCTCCATTCGTGCCTCTTCAAATTCTGCAGCACTGCTGGTCACAGCTGACCTCCAGCTGGAGCGCTCAAGGGCCAGGGATTCCCAGTTCTCAGTGTCTATGCCAGAGTTTTTAAGGTTGGCTTTGAGCCCATCTTTAAATCTCTTTTCCTGTCCACCAACATTCCGTTTTCCGTTCTTAAGTTCAGAGTAGAGCAACTGCTTTGGGAGGCGGTGGTCAGGCATCCGGACAACGTGGCCGGCCCAGCGGAGTTGATGTTGGAAGACCATCACTTCAGTGCTAGTGGTCTTCACTTCTTCCAGCACACTGACGTTTGTCCGCTTGTCTTCCCAGGAGATTTGCAGGATTTTCCGGTCAGAAGCCAGCCAATTAAAGAAGTATAGTTTAACTTACGTCACAAAGTCTTCTTCCGAACCCGTCTTCTGTAACACAACGATCTAGAAAGCACCCAACAAGACACCTTGCCGATTGCAAAGTTACAATTGCAAACACTCCCATTTTATCTACAACTCCTCATCAGAACTTGATTCAGCCAACACCCTTGTCCCAGCTGCAGCCTGTTGAAACTCCTCATCCGATCTGGAGTCGCCCCTAGTTCGGCCCAACCCATCCCCAGCTGTGCTTCTTCCACCACTCCTCCAAGTAGTCCATCTCTGGTCTAATCCTGAAGTTCCCCAAGACCCATCCATGCCTTCGTTACTTCAACCTTCAAACGTGCCACTGCTTGTGGGTTCAGCACAAATATCCCGAATCTCTTGAACCCTTGTCCAATCCAACCCATCAGACCCAGAGTCTGGTATCCCATCATCCATATCATTTGCATCAAAACCTTCAAAAGAATCCTCATCTGTTGGCTCACTAAGTATCTCCCGGATTCTTTTCCTCTGTTGCTCTTCATCATAGTCTTGCTCGCGAGTAGTTTTCCTGCCTCTCCTAATACAACTAGTGTTACTATCACTGCCAGCAGACTCTATCACAACAGCTGTGGCTCACAAATGGAACTTTGAAAAACGAGACAAAAGGCCTGATTCTGGCAGCCCAAGAACAAGCCATTACAACCAATGCCATCAAAGCTGTTGCATCCCAGTTCAAGAAACGAGACCATAAGATTAAATCCACCACACTGGACTGTAGGAAAAGCAATCCTTGTTTATTGATGAAAAATTGGTTACAAAAGAAAGGTAAATGGAAAGTCAAAAAGCCACAGAAAAGCACAGCAGTCAGTAGAATCTCTGAACTTGAGCAAAATTTCAAAAGCCACAATACAAGAACCAGGAACCTGTTAGCCTCTCGCTAACCATGAACTTGATAACTAAGCCTCTGGGATTACCGGCCATGAAACACAGGAATTCTGCTAAGGCACAGCCACAGTCCCAAACGTTGCTTGATCTAAAGAGGCACCCGGCAGGAGGCCTCTTAAACCAAAGAAGATATTCTTTGAAACGCCCCTTGACTTTGACGTCTGGGCCTGTCTCTCCTGTAAACGATGTGACCTTCGTAGAAACTGGGAAACATTTCTGTCTCTAACTATCTGTTCTCTTCGGTCCTCATTAAAAACCCCAGGTGGAGAGATATCACGGCTAGTGATATCACGGCTAACTTCCAAAACATTTTCCTCCAGCTGTTGGGTTTCATTTTCATCCCCGCTGACCTCTGCATCAACAACAGATTCCACACTGTCAGGGTCAGGGAGAGCTTGCTCAGTTGGAAAAACTATCAGAGAATCCGGTTCACACAGATCAGGATCAGGCTGAACCCCAACAAAAGCCAGAATTGAAAAGTCGACAACAGATCCCAGATGTAGATTCTGCAAGGAAGCAGATGAAACAATACATCACATCCTCAGGTGCTGCAAGATGATCGCGCAGACAAACTACAAGACTACGTCACAATTACATCTGGTGGGGACAAGAGACAGGGCCTTCTCAGTGGTGGCCCCTCGGATGTGGAACACCCTTCTTAGGGATATTAGATCGGCCCCTTCCCTTTTAACATTTCAAAAAAAAGTCAAGACTTGGCTTTTTGAGCAAACGTTTGCAGACACAATATGACATAGAGAAAATAACAGAACGTTTTCCGTTTGAGATGTTTTTATTGATATTGTTTTATTGATATTGTTTTATCTGGTTTTATATTTAATTAACTGTTTTTATTGTATTTTATGTTTCTGATGTTGACTGTACACCACCCCTAGTCGCTTGTGGGATGAGAGGGGTGGTATATAAATATAGTAAATAAATAAGTAATAAATAAGTGATGTCCGAGAGCCAAAGAAAGAGAGGAACTCAGTTACTGGACACTCACCAGAGTCTAGCTTTTATACCTTTGCTTCTTTCTTCGCTTTGTTTCTCAGACCGGACAATGGACCTGGGTAGATCGGACTCCGCTGAGTTTCTTCCCTTGGAATATCGGGGAACCCAACAACAAAAACGGGAAGGAATATTGTGCCCACACAACCATCGGGGAAGGTGAGGAAGGACTCGGAGGGTAGTAATGCAGGGCTTAGAGTACTCGGAAGTCTCAGTGATTAAAGATGTATGGTAATTGAATCTTCGAGAGTCCAAGGGCCACCCAGTCCAACCCTCTTCTGCCAGGCAGGAGGATACTATTCAAGTCCTCCTGACTGGCAGCCATCCAGCCTCTGTTTGAAGACATCAAGAGAAGGTGATGCCACCAGACTTCCAGGCAGAAACTGTTCTGTCGCCGCTGGGCCTGTATTTGGTTGGCTTTAAAATAGGATCTGTAACCTTTGCCCAGCAGGAAGCCAGGGGGCCCAAGGAGAAGTTCTCAGGGGCTTCTTTACATAAGAATCTTCAGATGGCTTGAGAAATACAACAAAGTCCTTTATTAATGAAATCATCAAACAGGAACTTCAAGGCTTTCTTGATAAAATATTGGTTCTCTCAATCTTGTCCACAGGGGACAGGCACTATCTTCAATAACTTTTCTTTAAAGGAAAATTCCCCTTTTTAACTTCTCCCAGGCTGACTAAAATCCAACCCTCACTGATGCGTGCTCCGCTACCGGGCCGAACTGCTTCTTGGACGCCGAGTGGACCTACCAGCAAGGCAGTGGATGTTCTCCAGCTGGAGTTCTTTAGTCTTTAAGGCTGTTTTCCTGGAGTTCTTAAAGCTGTTCTCCTGGATTGCTTAAAGCTGTGGGAATGCTTCCCTGGCATTCTTTCCCTGGAGATTCTTAAAGCTGTTCTCCCCTGGAGATTCTTAAAGGTTGAAGCCTTTGTACAGGGGAAGTTACACACATCCTATACATTGGCTAACCTGGCTGAGACTAACTAACAAAATGGCTCATTTCCCTCCAAAGCCCAAAAAGGGGGCGGGACTGGGGAACCTAATAATAATTGACAAGCAATTGATCCAATAACTGCAAAGTAAGGAAAACCATCTAACTGCAAAGGCATAGAACTTTAAAATACATGCAGCAATCAACAAATAGCAAGATAAGCTGGAGCTCCTGGTGCGGCTGTCCCAAAACAGAAACATATTCCACTGTTGAAGAGCTCTTACCATCAGGACATTCTTCCTAATGTTTAGGTGGAATCTCTTTTCCTGCCATTTGAACCCTTAGTCTCCGGAGCAGAAGAAAACAAGCCTTTCGCCTCCCTCAAAGGGACCCCTTTCCAATAGTTAAACATAGTTCTCGTGTCCCTTCTCAGTCTTGATTTTCTCCAAGGCCAACATACTGAGCTCCCTAAGCCACTCTTCATAAGGATTCATGGTTTCCAGAACTTTGAACCTTTTGGTTGTCCATCTCTGGACCCCTTATGCTTCTCTATCTCCTTCTTGACTTGCTTTGCCCAGAACTGGATACAGGATTTTATTCCAGGTGTGGTCTGACCAAAGCGGAAGAGATTGAGACTAGATATGGATAAGCTGAATGTGTCCAGAGGAGGGCAACTAAAATGATCTGGAGAACAAGCCCTATGAGGAACAGCTTCAAGAGCTGGGCATGTTTAGCCTAAAGAAGAGAAGGCTGAGAGGAGACATGATGAGAGCCATGGATCAAGATGTGAGGGGAAGTTATAGAGAGGAGGGAGCAGGCTTGTTTTCTGCTGCCCTGGAGTCTAGGATGCAGAACAATGGCTTCAAACTACAAGAAAGGAGATTTCACCTGTTACATTAGGAAGAACTTCTTGACTGTGAGAGCCATTCAGCAGTGGAATTCTCTGCCCCAGAGTGTGCTGGAGGCTCCTTCCTTGGAAGTTTTTACACAGAGGCTGGATGGTCATCTGTTGGGAGTGCTTTGAATGCAATATTCCTGCTTCTTGGCAGAATGGGGTTGGACTGGATGGCCCAGGAGGTCTCTTCCAACTCAATGATTCTTTGATTCTATGAAAATGGAGAGAGTGGGGGCTTGTCTGATCTCCCTAGGAAGGGAGTTCCAGAACCGAGGGGCCACCACAGAGAAGGCCCTTTCCCTCATCCCCACCAACCACTCTTGAGACGGCAGTGGGAGTGAGAGAAGAGCCTCCCCAGAGGATCTTAAACCACGTGCTGGTTTGTAGGGGAAGATGCAGTTGCCAAGATAGGCAGGTCCCAAACCGTTTAAGGCTTTGTAGGTGATCACCTGCACTTTGTATTGGGATCAGAAACTTATTGGCAGCCAATGGAGCTGTTTGAACAGGGGGGCAGACCGCTCCCTGTAGTCATTATTCTCCTCTTGTTTCAGCCTAGAATCATATTGGCCTTTTTTTCGCTGTGGGCTAAACTGTTGATCCATGTTCAGCTTGTAGTTTAGCACGACTTTCTAATATTGTCGAAGGCTTTCATGGCCGGAATCACTGGGTTGTTGTAGGTTTTTCGGGCTATATGGCCATGTTCTAGAAGCATTCTCTCCTGATGTTCTGCCTGCATCTATGGCAGGCAACTTCAGAGGTTGTACATAGTGAAAAGTAAAGGGGTGCTTGCCATAGATCACTGGTTCTCAACCTTTCTAATGCCGTGACCCCTAAATACAGTTCCACATGTTGTGGTGACCCCCCCCCCCCCCCCGCCTTTAAGGGACCGTTGAAGGTCACCCTTCTATGCCCACCCATGCAGATGTAGCACTGGAGAGATTTTCAGCCTTCTCTGCCAAAGGGGTTCATGACCCCTCTGAAATGCCCATTTGACCCCTCCAGGGGTCGCAACCCCCAGGTTGAGAACCGCAGCCATAGATGCAGGCAAAATGTCAGGAGATAATGCTTCAATGGCTTCAAACTACAAGAAAGGAGATTCCATCTGAACATGAGGAAGAACTTCCTGACTGTGAGAGCCGTTCAGCAGTGGAACTCTCTGCCCCGGAGTGTGGTGGAGGCTCCTTCTTTGGAAGCTTTTAAACAGAGGCTGGATGGCCATCTGTCAGGGGTGCTTTCAATGCAATATTCCTGCTTCTTGACAGAATGGGGTTGGACTGGATGGCCCAGGAGGTCTCTTCCAACTCTTTGATTCTATTATTCTAATGCTTCTAGAAGCCATGGCCATATAGTCCGAGAAACCTACAACAACCCACTCCTAGATCCCATTTACATGGACTGTTCAACCTAAGTGTCACCGATTCTATATCTCTGCATTTCATTTCTTCTACGCTTGGCTACCTCCTCCCTGAAACTAGGCTCCCAATGAAGAAAAATAGAACTACAGATTTGGATGTGACCCATGGGGCAGTGGGAATTTTATCTTTGGGAATATTCAGATCTAAGTACCAGAAGTCAAGGAAGTGGGCTGGGGCGCATTTGTGTTTGGAGGGCATAGTCGTAGAATCAGCAACCCACGGTGGATCCTCCACATATAGGAAATAAAAAGTGGCCCGGATCCATTGCATCCCTGACCTTTCCTCTTTCTCCCTTTCAGGTTACAAGAAACTAAGTGATGCCAATTGTCAGATCCCCAAGAGCTATCTCTGCAAATCCCGGTTGCTGTAATAGCAAGAGCGCTTCATTTGAGATACTGCAAATCAGTAAATAAATCTTTCTGTGCAAAGAAAATGTTGGGGAGTGTTCTCATTAGTTGCCTGAAATTCTCTAGAGTTTTCCTAGGTCAGTGTTCCTCAACCTTGCTAATGCCGCGACCCCTTAATACAGTTCCTCCTGTTGTGGTTACCCCTATCATAACATTATTTTCATTGCTACTTCCTAACTGTCATTTTGCTCCTGTTCTGAATCGTGATGTAAACATCTGATATGCAGGATGTATTTTCATTCACTGGACCAAATTTTGCACAAATACCTGATACGCCATTTGAATACTGGTGGGGTTGGGGGGGGGGGTTGATTTTGTCATTTGGGAGTTGTAGTTGCTGGGATTTATAGTTCACCTACAATCAAAGAGCATTCTGAACTTCAACAACGATGGAATTGAACCAAACTTGGCACACAGAACTCCCATAACAGAAAACACTAGGAGGGTTTGGTGGGCATTGACTCTGAGTTTGGGAGTTGTAGTTCACCTACATCCAGAGAGCACTGTGGACTCAAACAATGATGGATCTGGACCAAACTTGGCACTCAATATGCCCAAATATGAACACTGATGGAGTTTGGGGAAAATAGACCTTGACATTTGGGAGTTGTAGTTGCTGGGATTTATAGTTCACCTACAATCAAAGAGCATTCTGAATCCCAGCAATGATAGAATTGGGCCAAACTTGACCAATCTCCATGACCAACAGAAAATACTGTGTTTTCTGATGGTCTTGATGACCCCTCTGACACCTCCCTCTTGACTCCCCCCAGTGATCCTGATTCCCAGGTTGAGAAATGCTGATATAGAGAGAGGGAATATAGATGAAGATACATGTTTCTGTATATATGTGTTTGTTTGTGTATATAGATGTATACATGCACACATTAAAAACAATTATCCCATGTATTTTATTAATAAGATGTCCTGTCTGGAAAATTTAGTTCATAAACATTGCGGGGTTTCCTCCCACAGGCCTTTCTGGTGATAGAACTCCCATGTCCAAGAGAAAATACTGGAAAGGTTTGGTAGGCATTGACCTTGAGTTTTGGAGTTGTAGTTCACCTACATCCAGAGAGTACGGTGGACCCAAACAATGATGGATCTGGACCAAATCTGGCCCAATATTCAATATGCCCAAATTTGAACACTGTTAAAGTTTGGGGAAAATAGACTTTGACATTTGGGAGTTGTTGTTGCTGGGATTTATAGTTCACTCAAAAAGCATTCTAAGTCCCACCAATGATAGAATTAGGCCTAAAATTCCCACAGAGAATCCCCATGCCTTGAAGGGACTTGTTGGCATGAGCCTTCCTCCAGCCTCGCGTGCTCTCCCTCACTTGCACATGTTCACCACGCTGACATGCGCCGAGTACACTTGCTCTCTCCTGCTTGCTTGGAGTCTCAGAAAGAGCTCTCCCCTTGGCTAGGAGGCTGTAAAGGATAAACGTTCACCTGGACAGGGGGGACAAGCAATCACACCCACTGTCCTTTAATTCACGGGGTTATCATTCAGCTGGACACTAATCAAATAAAGATAGTTAACTATAACAAGGGGGAAAGACTCTCTTGTCCCCACCTTAGTAATTTATCTATTAAGTGACCAACTGTGATGTAGTTGTAGACCGATGTAATTGTTAAATCACTGCCACCACCTCAAATTAAATAGGTCTGAGGAAAACCATATGTGTGAATGTGAAAAATAGGAAAAGTTATATTCAAGCTCTTTGTTCTTCTTTGACCACTGTTATTTTTGCTGACTAGACTGAAAGAAATCTTCTTTAAGTTAGCTGAGATGTAAAGGTTGTAATAGACTGAGGCAGACTCCAATTTGAAGGTGAAATAAGAAACAGGTTTATTTTAGAACTTGATAAACAGATCAACTCTTAAAAAGAGTGGTACAATAATCTTGATGCAGTTCAGTTCTTGAGGCTTAGCTGGTTTTAAACAGGCAGTCTTACTTAAAGGCTTCAACTTTTGTTTCACAGTGAGTTCCTTGTCCCCACACTGATCACTAACTGACACAGTGTGTCTTTGAGCACAGTACACAAACTGCCTCCTAGAGCAAATCAGGCTTCCCTTTCACTGTCCCTACTCTGACCAGTGAACCACTAACTGACACAGTGTGTCTTTGAGCACAGTACACAAACTGCCTCCCAGAGCAACTCAGGCTTCCCTTTCACTGTCCCTACTCTGACCAGTGAATCAGGTTCCTTTGCCTAACCCTTGCTCTAATTTCTCAAGGCTCACACAAAAGTCTTCCCTCCCTGCCTAAGATCTCCACAGCTCTCTCTTCCTAAAATATACGTCTTTACTCCACGATGTCTAAACTCCAACTCCCTTACTTGTCAAATAAGCCAGCCTTTTTTCCCTCTAAATCCTAACTCCACCCCTGACTGTCCTAACCAATCAGGAGTCGGCTGACTCCTCCCTCCTGCCTCTGGCTCTCTTGCCTAACCCAGAACATGTCAGCTACTGACTTTCCAGGCTTCGGCCTTCCTGCCAAAAAGGTCAGTTTCACTACAGAGGCCAACTGAGAAGCCAGCCAATCACAGCAGGAGAAGGGCTTTTGGTGGGAGGATTCGCAATCTCTTTCCAAAAAAAGAGAGAAGGACAGGCAGAGAAATCCTTCAGCCTTCTCTGTCAAAGGGGTTCTGAAGACCATCAGAAATATATGTTTTCTGCTGGTCTTTGGCAACCCCTCTAAAAACCCCTCGTGCCCCACCCCCAGGGGTCCTGACCCCCAGGTTGAGAAATGCTATCCTAGGTCTTTCTCTCTCTCTTCCTGCATTCACAGCATTTCCAAATCACTGAACAACCAGGAAATCCAAAAGGCCTCTTGATGATGTCGAACACGAATTTAGGAGGCCCTGCCAAAGCAAAAACCAGCCAGACCCAAAAAGAGGATCCAGACACCTGGCGAGACACTAAGCACCCAGAAAGAATTTTTCCCTATTTTCCCAAATAAATCTCACAAAGTTGAAGGAAAGCCACCGAGATGTTTTATTTCATTCCAGCTGGAACAGATGATGACCACAATAATTTGCCCAGGAGCTGACATGACTCGTTCAGAAAAATAATGCCATTTTATAGGAACTTCAGAGCTGTCAAATTCAAATTTCCCATTCCCACCCCCTGAGCCAGCTTTGTGCTGATTGGTTGGAGTTATCAGATGGCTGGAAGGTGCGATTGGCTGTGCTGTGCTCTGCCCTATCAGAGCGTTTGCCCAGCTTCGGCTTCTCAGCCAATGGGGAGGCAGGAGGTGGGCCAGGTGGAAAACAATGAAGGAAATGTAGAGATGACAGGATTAAGGTGACTAATGTTTTCTAAATGGCTGAGTGATAGCCTTTAGGCTCTCAAGCCTGGCCAAAGTTATTATCTGGTTTCTTGAATTCACATCTTGGTTTGGCCCCTAGAGGCTAGGTCCTTTATAGTCCTGGGATATGGAGTTCATTGATTAAATCTTGAGGTTGGTTTCAGCCGGTTGGGGTTGACACAATGGAAAGGCTGTGATGAAATTCCTGGTTCCTCGCAGATAGGAAATCACCTTTTGTGTTGAGGCCTCAATTTAAATGTCCATGACTTGTATCAACCCAGATGGTCTGGCTTCGCCCTCCGAACTCTTATCTGATAAGAGCTATTTGTTTTTATTGTCCATGATAGTGGGTTTGGTGAAAATCCTTTGTCAGGGGATTAGGGGCTCATGAAGTTTGAAAAACTCCAAGGGCCATGCTTTGCTGGTTTTGTGAAAGCAGTGGCTTTACCTTTCATATATTATTTTTATTATTATTATTAAACTTTATTTGTACCCCGCTAGCATCTCCTGAAGGACTCGATGCGGCTTACAAAGGCCAAGGCCTCAACACAACATAACAATACACTTAAAGCAAATTAAAACAATTAAAGCAGTATTAAAACAACAAAACCACAAGCAATAAACAATACATCAAACAGGATAAAACTAGGCCGGGCCAGAGTAAAGGGTACAGGATTAAAAAGTGCTGATGTGACAGGTGATATGTAAGGATTATAGGGCAAGTGCAGTGTGCAGCAATCTTAATTCTAATAAAGTGCTTCTGGGACTTGGTATTGGAGATTTCCTAATCTGGAAAGGCACATCGGAACAGCCAGGTCTTCAAGTTCTTTCTGAAGACTGCCAATGTAGGGGCCTGTCTAAGATCTTTGGGGAGGGTGTTCCAGAGTCGGGGGGCCACCACGGAAAAGGCCCTGTCTCGTGTCCCCACCAAACGCGCTTGCGACGCAGGCGGGATCACGAGCAGGGCCTCTCCAGATGAGCGTAGTGAACGCGTGGGTTCGTAGACAGAGATGTGGTCACGCAGGTAGGCTGGTCCCAAACCGTTCAGGGCTTTGTAGGTCAGCACCTGCACCTTAAATTGGGCTCGGAAGATAAACAGCAGCCAGTGGAGCTCCTTGAACAGGAAGGTTGACCTCTCTCTGTAGTCACATACACATTAGGAATGGGTAGGGGGCAAGGGAACATACAAAGAATTCATAAGGTTAAGAGGAATCATGCACAGCCTCAAGGGAAATCATGCCACCCCCCACCCACCCCACCCCCCCAAAGTCCATCAAAATCCATGGACTTTCAAGTCTGTGAAAGTTATTAAAAGGAGTTCATAGTTCATAGGGGTTCTGACAAAGAGTCCATGGAAGTTTCCAAAAGTCTCCAAAAATTGGTTAAAACTGGGTTGTTGTAGGTTTTTTCGGGCTATATGTTCTAGAGGCATTCTCTCCTGACGTTTCTTGTATGCCTCTAGAATATGGCCATATAGCCCGAAAAAAACCTACAACAACTCAGTGATTCCAGCCATGAAAGACTTAGACAATACAATTGGTTAAAAGTTCCCAAAAGTTTATGAAAGTTGAAGAAAATTCACAAAAGTTCCCAAAAGTGCATGGGGAGTGTAGTTAATTCCCTACCAGTTAGGCTGAGAGAAGCCCTAGAAAATAGTAGGCCCAAGGAGTTTGGCAGCCATCTTAGGAAAGGGTGCCGGGGGAATCCATT